TCTCTGTCTCAGTTACATATCTTATGTTACTTATGTTATAAATCAGCAGCTGGTTTGGTGAGATAGAGAAAGAAAAAACATTATTATAAAGATACTTTCATTTGCTGAGCAATGTTTTATATGGACTGCTCATTTTTTCTGGGCTTGACTTATTCTAAAAATTTACCAAATGTGGTGGAAAATCTGTGATTGTTGTATAATTTTCCCTAGATGAATGTTGAGTCTGGAGGATCACATAATTGTGCCCCCCACAACTTTCATATAGGTAAAACTAAAGTGCAAAGCATATCAACAAACAAAAACACAACATGTACCCTGGTTCTTGAGTGTGAAAAAAGATAGATATGCCTATTTTTGCCTTGAGAACAAGGGGAGAGAGGCATGGAGAAGAAAGAAAGGAAGAGCAAAAGCCAGCTATATGTATGAATCTTGGGCCTTTTAGCACTAGAGTGAATTGCTTTCTCCCTTACTAACTACTTTCCTGGGTCTCTATATACCTGAAATCAATAAATGACCCACTGAAAACTCTAGTCTGGCTACAAGAGAAGCATTGTTTGGGAAGAGCTCTGTAATTGTCATCACTGTCAATTCTTTCTCTCCTTTTCACACCTACCAATTGAAATGGTTTTTGGTACCTGCTTCTCAACCAAAATTGTCTTAGAAACCTAAACATTTCCTAGACATTAACTTCAGTGATTGACTCTTACCTTACCCACTTTCTTTGCCATTTGTCACTATTAGTAACTCTTATCTTGACATTCTCTAATCTTAGACTCCATGCCACAACTCTCTGTAGGCTTGTTTTCCTCCTGCTGCCCATTCTTACTGCCTGATGTCTATTGTATGTTATTTGGACCATTTCAATCAAATCTGTAAGCCAGTCTCCTGCTGACCACATAGTCACTGCAGTTATACAGCTAGAATTTATTCACCTTTCTGCTGTCAAGGTAATTTTTCAAGGCAAAATTCTATAAGGAAACCTTCAAGTGATTCCCACTTTGTCACAGGATACAGCTAAGACTTCATAGCCTATCACAGTCTCTGCCATCACTTTAGCCTCATCAGGTGTTGATATCCTGTATCACAGTAAACTCACATACTTGACAGACTAAATGTGTTTATCATTCTGTGCCTTATTATCTGGACTGAATGTTCTCCTTTTCCCTGGCCTGCTTGGTAATGGCTCACTAATCTTTGAAGATACAGTCTATGCCATCTTGTTTTTGAAGGCTTCTGGTCACTCTGCACAGCCAGAGCAGAATGGATTTCTTTCCTATTTGTGGCCAACAGTACCCTGTGTTACCCTGTAAATGCTTCTGTTTGAAGATCTGGGACACTTTCACAATGTATTTCCTCACTTTTGTTTTTCCCTCCAAGACTTGAAGCTGCTCAAGAAGAAGGTCTGTGCTTAGGTGTTTTTGTATCTCCAATCCTCTTGGTTTGTATCTTTCATCAAATGATGTAATAATGTTTAGCATATTCATAAATTTGTGCAGGCATTACCATGGTCAATTTTCGTTCATTTTGTTATTAGTTTTTGTGGTGCTAGTGGTTGAACCCATGTTAGGAAAGTACTCTGCAACTGAGCTACACCCGTCCCAGCCTATTTATTTTGTCGTTTGCCATGTTGTTTCACTATGTTGTCTGGGCTGTCCTTGAACTTGTGATTCTGCCTCAGTCTCCTTTGTAGTTAGGATTTAGTGACATTTAGCACATTCGCAGTGTTGTGCAAACATTATCTCTCTCTCGTTTAAAATCTGGCCCATCGCCTCAGAAGAATGCTCTTACCCACCCAGCAATGACACCTCAGTTCTACCTCCCCCACTCCCTGACAAACACAGATACATGTTGTTTCTATGGATTTTCCAGTTGTGATTATTTTATATCACAGTCACTAAATAATGTAGTTTCTTTATTTGGCATTTTCTAATAGCAGTAAAAAAGTATTAGTACTTCTTTCCTTTATATGGCTGAATAATACTCATGCATATAGCACAATTCTTTTTTGGTTGAATAAATGATGTGTCTAAGAGCACTCATGTACATCTATGTGGATGCATGTTTTCATTTCTCTTTGGCATATTCTTAATAGTAGAATTAATATAACACATTGTAAACCTATCTATGTATATATCTATGTATGTATCTATGTATGTATCTATGTATATATCTATGTAGCTATGTATCTATCTATCTATCATCTTGGCTTATAGTTTAGTTTTTCTGAGACAGAGTCTCACTTGTAGCACTGGTTGTTCTGGAACTCTTGATTCTCTGCTTCAGCATCCTGAGTGCTGAGAATACATGTGTATACACGACACTCGGCTCTATTTATGTTTTTTCACTGTAATAGTACTATTTCATATTTACACCTCTCCCCTCCTCTTCTTTCCCTTCTGCCCTGCTCTCCTCTCCCCTCTCCTCTGCTCTCCCCTCTCCTCTCCCCTCTCCCCTCCCCTCCCTCCTGTTCTCTTTCCCCTCTCCTCTCTCCCCTCTTCCCTCTCCTCTCTTCTCCCCTCCCCCTTCCCTCCCTCTCCTCTCCCCTTCCTTCCCCTCCCTTCCTTTACTCTCTTCTCCCCTCCTCTCCTCTCCCCTCTCCTCTCCCCTCTCTCTCCTCTTTCCTTTCCCCTCTTCTCTCCTCCCCTCCTTTACTCTCCTTTCCCTTCCCCCTTTCCTCTCCTCTCTCCTCCTCTCCCTTCCCACCTTCCCCTCTTCTTTCCCTTCCCTTTCCCCTTCCTCCTTCCCCTCTTCCTCCCTTGCCCTCCTCTCCCCACCCCTTCTCTCCTCTATTCTTTGGTCTCCCTTCTTTTCTCTCTTCCCCATCCTTCCCCTGTCCCCCCCTCCCCCACTCATCTCTCTCTGAACAAAGATTCCTCTTGACTGGCCAGAAACTTGCTATGTAGCCCATAATGGCTTCAAAGTCATGCTGATCCATTTGCCTATTTCCAAAATGCTAGGATTGCAGATGTGGGCCACTGTACCTCCTTTGGTTTTAGTTTGTTTCAAAGATTCTCTTAAATTACATTTCATGTATAAAGAGTAAGCATTATTTCTTTCATTGTGTAGATGTATTAGATAACTAAATCTCACTTAGTCTACAAAGTGAATCCTTTACTTCTTGATAGAAACTCAGGTGGCACAGGTTGAGGCCCTATTTTGGTACCATGCAGGTTTGAGCAGATATTGCAAAAATGAGAACACTGGCCAGATTTTCACAGGTGGCTCCAGTAGAACTTCTGGAGACCTTTTTTTTTTTTAGAACTTGAAGAGTATCATGAGACAAAAGGCTCCATTTATTGATTCAGCCATTCTTGTGGGTGTGATGTTGTCATTGTGGTTTTTGTTTTAATGTTGGACATCTTTCATGGGCTTTAGCATTTGTATATATTCTTTGGAGAAGATTACAGTACCTTTATCATTTTAAAAACTGGGTGTCACTTGGTTATTTGTAAAACTCCTTTACATATTCTAAACTCTAAATCTTTACTGGATACACAAGTTGCAGTTGTTTTCTTCCTATTTTAGGTTGGTATCCTTTCAAGTTTCAAATTTTATGTTTTCTATTTATTTATGATTTTAGTCATCTAAAAAATCATTGTTTAATCCAAGGTCTAGAAGATTTATTTCTACATTTCTACATTACTTATATTGCTTTCTAGTCCTGGTGCAGAAAACGAAAATACAAAAACAAATACTTCAGTGCCAGGGCACTGTTCGCGAGCTTTTGTGCTTTAGACTAGAGCTCTACCACTAGAGTCAAAGTTCCATGTCTGATTTTTTTCATGGTCACTTGAAGGTAAGTTTCATGGACTTCCTACCCATTCTGGCTTTGAATCTTAATTCAGAGAGCTAGGATTATAGGCAGGTGACACCAGTGCCCGGCTTACATTTATATTTTTAAAGCTTCAGCTTATATTTAGATATTAATTAGAATTAATTTGTGTATATATGACATGAGGTAGGAATCCAAATTCATTCTAATTTCCATGGCTAGAACTTCTAGTACAATGGCAACAGTGAACATTCTTATTTTATTTCCAATCTCCAGGGAAACACATGTAGTCTTTCATCAATAAATATATTAGCTGTGCCATTTTTGAGGATGTGAGGGTTTAAAAAAAATGAGGTTCATGGGGCTGGGAAGGTGGCTCAGTGGTAGAGTGCTTGCCTCGAATGCATGAGGCCTTGGATTCGATCCCTCAGGACGACATAAATAGAAAAACCGGAAGTAGCACTGAGGCTCAAGTGGTAGAGCACTAGCCTTGAGCTGAAGAGTGGAGGCCCAGAGTTCAAGCCCCACGACCTACCCCCCCCAAAAAAAAAACCTGTGGAAAAAAATCAGGAAATTTCCTCTTACTTTGTCTGTTTTTGTTTTGTTTTTTTTTTTTTTAGATAACAAAAGATGTTGAATTTTGTCAGATACGATACTTTTTCTGGTCTTTTACTCTACTGAATGATGTGTTAATTTATGTTCAGATGGGAAACCATACTTACTTTACAGGGTAATTTAAATAAATATTCTTTAAATTAAATCTATAGTGAATTAATTACATGAAGACTGGGTAAAATTAACTCAAGAAATGAATAGGGAAATAAGACTGGAAAATAATCTTCTTGTTCAGATTGCTGCTTAGGAAATATGGAAACTTTGGAAGTAGAATTATCACTGTATAAACTTTTTAAAAGAATACGTTCATAGTACTTTTTCATTCTTTCCATCTTATACTTTCCTTTAAAGTCCTAGAAGATTTAACAACACCTAACAGCCTATTTCAAAATGCTTTACTTTATGCATATTACTATAGTGCTTTTCTTGTATATTTGTTCTCTCTTTCTCTCTCTCTCTTTTCTCCCTCTTCACCTTCTGAAGTATTTGTACAAAACATGGTATCCATTGAGAATATAAAGACTTCTAATTAGTTTTAGCTCCTTGTGTTATAAAGAGGAAAGAACTTTCCCTCAGAAAGACCCTTTTCTATCCCAAATGATAGAAAACTTACTTTTAATTGTGACCCCAATAATTATCAATATCTGTATTAACAAGGTCAAGGGCTTCATCTTCTAAACAGCTCCTCTTCACTGTAACACAGGCAGAACTAGGTGGCTGGCCTATGAGCTTACTCTTCGCACGGAGTCAGTTGCTAAGTAACCATTTCCTTACACTTGAGGCCAATGGGCTTCCAAGGAAGTTCCTTTCAAGATGGAATTGAAGGCAGCTGATTGAGAGCCCAGGCTCTGGGAAGAAACTATATGTACTCTTCCATTCCTCTGGCTAGAGATAACATTTAGGTTTGAAATATGCAGGGGTTACTCTCTGATGCAAAAGGAAGGAACCAGATGCCCAATATGTTTACGATGACACAAATGTTCAACTGTATTTAGTGTTTCTGGAAATTCTTGTTTTTATGTTACCTCTAGAAACCTGTGCTATCCAGTTTTTGTTACTATAAGAGATACCTGAAGCTGGATAACTTTAAAAGATGTTTATTTCAGCTAACAGTCCTAGAGGTACAATGCCTAGGGGCTACAGTCTGTCAGTCTGTCATGAACTTCTGGTTGGCAGAGTCCAGGAGTGATGAAGAATACCACATGTCATCAAGGGACAGAGAATCCACTTGTATGTGTTTTTTGTTCTGGTCACTTTCCCTCTTAGAAGATTCAATCATGGGATTTCTACCCTAATGACCCAATTATAGATAATCCCAATTATCTCCTAAATGCCTTACTGCTAAGCACCAGTGTCAGATTAATTGTTCCTCCCCCTAATACCTCATAGTGGTGTAAATTCAGCACATGAAAGTTAGGAGGAGACACATACACACTATATCTAAATCATAACAAGGTGCCAGATGCACTATGTGACAAGGCAATTCAGTACTTGAATATGACTTGATGTTATCCCTCAATATGAAACCCTTAGGTAATGGCAGAAGAGAGAGAGAGAGAGAGAGAGAGAGAGAGAGAGAGAGAGAGAGAGAGATGGGGGTAGAGGGTAAGAGAGAGAGAAAACAGAAGCACACAGACCAAGCCTGCTTTCTTCCAAATCTGGATGAAAATCTGTTTAAATTAGGAACCGTTAAAGTTTTACTAGGATAAAGGCAGACAGAGGTCAAAATGAATATTTAAGGAAAAACTTGGAAATATTAAGGATACTTAAGGAATGGGATAATTGAGAAATTATGCCTAAAATATATTTAACTTTAACAGTGAATCCAGATAATTATTTCAGAAACACATTATTGTCATGAATTGACATGTTATACTCTATTAGTCTCTCACTGCTATAGTAGCAAATTGCCACAAATTTACTATGTGTAAATGATAGAGATTTATTCTTGTACAGTTCTGGAGGCCAGAAATCCAAAAGGATTCTAAGAGATATGAAAACGAGATCAGGAACAGGGTTAGTTCTGGAAATAGTCTATGCTTTTCCTTTTCTTGTCTTTTTTTGTGGTATTAGAGGATTGAGCTCAGAGTTTTGGCATGCTAGTGAAGGGTTATACCACTAAGCTACACTGTTAGACCAGAATCTATTCATTATTTTGAATTTTCTCCCTTCTACTAGCTACTAGCATTCATTGACATACAGACATATCCCAACAATTTCTATTTAATCACCATTTGTCTTCACTTGTCTATAAGCAAGCATGTTTTGATTAATGATGAAGATGAATTCTGAGAAATTTGTTATTGGACAATTTGATTATGCAAACAATACGGATTGTACTTCTAGAAACCTAGATGGTATGCATCAATCATTGACATGGCTTCTTACTGCAATCAAGAGACAGGGTAACCACAAAATATGTGAAGTTACTGTCAGTGTAAACATGACATACTTTTGTACAGTAAGCTGCATTTTTTATTGTGAAAAAACTGTACAGAGGGGTTACAATTACATGGGCAAGATAATGAGTACATTTCTTATCAAGCATTGTAGGCTCCTCCTTTGTTTCCCCTTCCCATCCCTTCCAAGCCTTCACCTGCCCCAGTAAGCTGCATTTTTTATAAGTAGAAGAACACACTATAATGATAAAACTATAGCGTAATAAAAGTAGCAGCCATTTATTACTGGACATTATAAACTGCATATATAATTACATGTGTTATACTCTTTTATAACTGGCAGCTCAGCAGCTTTGCTAGCACCAGCATCACTAGAGTTGAATAATATAGTTTGTTATGAGGTTATATTGACTAGGCAATAGAAATCTTTCAGACTCATTTTAATATTATGTAATGGCCATCAACTATGTGTTATATTATGTAACATACATAATTATGTGATACCTAATATATGGTATGTACTGCTATGTACTATATGCAATGGTTTTATCTATCTCTATATGCTTATATGTACATCAAGACACACACACACACACATATATGAAAGTATCTTGTTGTGTAATTCTGGTTGTCCTCAAACTTATGAGCCTCCTTTTTTAGTTTCTTGAGTGTTAGAATTACATCTGTGAGACATGTCTAGTTCTGCCTCTTGGTAAGGGACATTTGTGATAATAGTTGGGAGTCACCAATATAATCCATGATAATTTCTCTATCTCAAAAATTTAATCTCATCTTCAAGGTCTCTTTTCCCATAATATAACATTCACACTTTCAGAGATTAGGGCCTGGATACTTTCTTTTTTTGGCATCATTAGTCCCTAATATGACTTCCTTCTACCAAAGGGTGTATGGGATGTTCCTAATTTCTAAAATAGCATAAATAGAATTCATTTAAACTATCAGGTATTATCTATCATTTTTTTTCCTGATCTCAGCTTCTTATGTGTCTGGAATGAGAAGTGTATGTCACTGTGAACAATTAATGCTTGACAGAAAAGTTCATGTTAGGGAAATGAACCCCAAGATAAGTATTCAAATGTTTTTTTTCATGCAATTGTTTCTAACATATTTATAAGATGATTTCTTTGTTGCTTTGTATGTCCCTCCCCCATGGTATAACCCCTGCTTTCACTGTATTTGATGTTGTATAATTTGTGGAGGGGAAGGGAAAAAACAAATCATTTAACTAGGGATACAGATGGACCCATTGCAACAATGAGATGTACACGTCGTTATGTCAACAAACGAATTTTACAACTTTGGTGAGGGGGGGAATTGTATAGGGGGTAGGGAGAAGAGTATGGGAAGCGATGGGAAGGGTAAACAAAGGAGGAGGTAACAATGCTTGATAAGAAATGTACTCATTGAAGAAATGTTCAACATCCCTAGCCATAAAAGAAATGCAAATCAAAACAACATTGAGATACCACCTCACCCCAGTTAGAACAGCAAAAATCAAGAACTCTAACAACAACAGATGCTGGAGGGGATGTGGACAGAAAGGAACCTTACTTCATTGTTGGTGGGAATGTAAACTTGTTCAGTCACTTTGGAAAGCAGTATGGAGGTTCCTCAAAATACTTCACATAGAACTCCCCTATGACCCAGCAATCCCACTTTTGGGCGTTTACCCAAATGTTTACAAACAAGACCACACTAAAGCTACCAGCACAACAATGTTTATTGCAGCATTATTTACCATAGCTAAGATATGGAACCAACCCAGATGCCCCTCAGTAGATGAATGGATCCAGAAAATGTGGTATATATACACAATGGAATTCTATGCCTCCATCAGAAAGAATGACATTGCCCCATTTGTTAGGAAATGGAAAAACTTGGAAAAAATTATATTAAGTGAAGTAAGCCAGGCCCAAAGAAACATAGGTCCCATGGTTTCCCTTATATGCAATATCTAGTATATGTATGAGTCAAGTGGAAAAGGTCAGATAATGTGATGTCAGGAAAATGAACCCTTAGATATGTATTTTAATGTTTTTTTCTTTCATGCATGTGTTTCTAACGCATTTATAAGATTATCTCTTTGTTGCTTTGTATGTCCCTCCCCCACAGTATAACCCCTGCTTTCACTATATTTGATGTCAGTATAACTTGTGGAGGAGATGGGGAAAAACCAGTTGTTTAAGGATACAGGTGGACCTGTTGCAACAATAAGAAGTACAAGTTGTCATGTCCAAAACGAGCTTTACAACATGGGTGCGGGGGTGGGGGGTGGGGGGGAAGGAGAAGGATTGGGATTGGGGGGGAGGGGGGAGGCTGGGAAGGGATGTGAAGGGTAAACCAAAGAAGGAGGCTACAATGCTTGGTAAGAAATGTACGCATTATCCTGCCCATGTAATTGTAACCCCTCTGTACAGTATGTTCACAAATAAATTAAATTAAATTAAAAAAATGTACTCATTACCTTGCCCATGTAATTGTAACCCCTCTGTACGGTATTTTCACAATAAAAACAAACAAAAAACAACAACAACAAATTAATGCTTGAGAAGTCTTGCCTGTATGCTTGAGCTAGCTTCCAACCCAAATCATCCTGATCTCAGCCTCCAAAGTAGCCAGGATTATAGGCTCCAAAACAATCCTTTTTTTCCCTTTTGCAGTCTTCCTTTGAATGTGGAACTGTATTTTTGATCAGGTAAGTTTGCTTCCCAATTTTACTGATACTGAGGCCATTTGACCAAAGGACTTTCTTTCCCCTTCTTTTTTATTTAAAAAGTTCTCCCAACCTCTGATGACTTGTTTTTCCAGTGTATTCCGAGATGAAATATCCTTTTCATATTCTAAATCTATTTCTTTTTCTCTTACTTTTGATTTTTATCCTTCTACTTTTTGTAGTTTTTCAGTTAATTTAACATTTATCCATTTTACCTTTGTCTTCTTTTTTTAATCCTCCATGTAAAAACTCATGAAACTTCTAGAAAAACTACCTTGTTTGTGGATTCTTTTGCCTATTATGTCCTGTACTTTGGTTCTAGCCCCAACTATCTCAAAAGAATATTTCATAACCAAATGTGGATGGCACACATCTGTAATCCTAGCGAATCAGGCAGCTAAGATTTGGAGGACAACAGTTCAAAGAGAGCCCAGGCAGTCTGTGAGATTTTAATCTCTACAATAACTAAGAAAAAGCTAGGCTGGGGGCATGGCTCAAGCGCTAGATCATCAGCAGTGCTGATTCAAATCTCAGAATTCAAATCTCAGAACCATTTAAAAAAAGAAAGACAAAGAAGAATAATTCATAATCATCGTTTTTGGTTTATTACCTCTAACTTTTTTCCCCCAAGTCCTAGGGCTTGAACTCAGGGCCTGGACACTGTTTCTGAACTTCTTTGTGCTAGCAAATTTGAGTCATTGCTCCACTTCTGGATTTTTTTCTAAGTAGTTTATTGGAGATAAGAGCCTGATGGACTTTCCTGCCTGAGCTGACTTTATCCTCAGATCTCAGCCTCCTGAGTAGCTTGGATTACAAGTGTGAACCATTAGTGCCCAGTATCCAGTTTATTCTTCAACAGCTTTTTTCTATTTTCACTAATTTACTAGAGTATATTGATTTTTTAAAATTATCTTGATCTCTGTGAGATATCTGACCTTTCATACCACAAATATCTTAAAATATTAGTTAACCTGCAAATGGAATTATTAGTTTTTCCACTGTTTTCCGCTCAACTTCTCACTCTTTTTCCATTCTCTCATTCCTTTATTCATTGATACCTATTTTATGCCAAAGTGAATTATAACATTTTGTGAAGAATTCACTAATTTCTTTTTTCACTTTTGCCGATCCTGGGGCTTGAAATAAAGGCCTGGGCACAATCTCTGAGCTTCTTTGTGCTCAAGGCTAGTGCTCTATCACTTGAGTCACAAAGCCATTTCTGGCTTTTTCTGAGTAGTTTCAGAGGAGGTAAGAATCTCATGGATTTTCCTTCCTGGCTGGCTTTAATCATGATCCTCAGATCTCAGCCTCCTGAGAGGTGTGATCCACTGGCACCTATTAATTTCATTTGTTAGTTTCTCTTTTTGTCTTCACATTCTCTTCTGTTCCTATGTGCTCTTCCTCAGTTTTACTAATATCTCTCTAAGGATATACAGTTAATATTGATCTATTTTTATTCATTCAATGGCTATTCATTGCGAGTTTATTCAGTGCTGGGTATTGTGCTATTTTTTGGTGATGGTGAGCAAAAAAGTATATTTCTTGTCCAAGGGGATATGTCCTGGTTTCAGATGTGCATATATTGTTTCAGAATAACCGTATTACTTTCTCTTTCTCCACATTCAACTTTTATTACCAACAACTTTCATTGAGAGTCTTTTAAAATTTTTTTATGCCAGTATTGGGACTTGAACTCGGGGTCTGAACTCAGGGCCTGAGCAGTGACACTGAACTTCTTTGCTTAAGGCTCATACTCTCTAGAGCCACAGCTCCACTTCTGGCTTTTTGCTGGTTAATTGGAGATAAGAGTCTCATAGACTTTCCTGTTTGGGCTTGCTTCCAATTGTGATCCTCAGATCTGAGTCTTCTGAATAGCTATTACAGGTGTGACCCACTGGTGCCCAGCTACTGAGACTTTATATAATAAAAGTTCTAGTTATTTGAGCTGAGAGAAGTGATAACCAGTACCAGATATAGTGACAAATGATTACCAATAACTTCTAAGGTAGAAGGACTGGCCCTAGGCTGGGGTGCAAACAGCTTGGTATTATGTGCTTTCTTGCAAACACTGTGTACTTCTGTGCACTTAAATAAGAACTCAGTATCATTCTCACAAATATGCTCTTGTATTCTTTGTAGTAGCTTTCTATTGTTATAAAGAAATACTTAGCAAAGGCTACTTAGGATGTACAGAGAAGTTTATTTTGGCTTGTGAATCTGGGGGCTCAAGTCCAAGACCCTGTGTAATGTTCCACTTCCTCCCCTTAGTTTAAGCCTCTGGTTTCCAGCTAGGAAGCAGAGAGAGATTGAGAAACAGGGGTCCCACAATACCCTTGCGGGCCACAACCTCAGAACTTCAGTGTCATTCTATTCCAGTGCGTCATCCTTTTAAGGCCCATCACTTCTCAGTAATGCCATCTAAGACAGCAATCCTTTTTTCTCATAAAGCCTTTGGGAGACATTACTCATATTCAAACCATAGCATTTGCCTAAGATTCTTCTCCTGAACCATGCTCTGAAACCCTTGTCTTATCTCTTTTTCTTCTCCTGATTTATTTCATTACAAATTTTTATTGCTTCTACGTGGGCAGTATTTCTTGAATGAATGCCCACCTTCTATTTTTCATTAAGTAATGAATCCAAATTTTTATTACTATTTGAAATGTTACTACTTGACACTTTATTTTTCAGATAAATGTTTATGCATGTCATGTAATTTACCAAAAAAAAGTGGGGAGGTCAAAGTAAAAACTAGTATTTTATAATATTATAAATCATTACCAATACCCAGCACATTCCATTCTTTACAATTCTTAAAAATGTGTTCTGAACAAGAATTTACACAACACATACAACATAAACCCCCAATTGTCCGATAAATGTGAAGTTACTTCTACCAAATCTGCCTGGTGGAATGGTCTGGTATTTGGAGAAATGCAACCAATTTAGGAAGAAGAGAATCATTTCTTCTAAATTTTAGTACCCTCTGTTCTTCTAGTAACCTTTCCTCGCATTGAATTTTCTGAATCCCGAGAGACTCGTATTACTAAGAGTTAAGCTAGTTCTCTGGACAAGAGCCATGATCTGAAGTCACAGTTAGAAGAATTAAAAACAAAAACCGGCTTTGATGACCACTCAGTGTAGCTTACTTTGATGTAGGACTTATTTCCAATACATTTTGGTTTTCAGTTCTTCAAACTATTGAGTAGCCCATTCTAACTTTGTCCTTTCCAACTCCAAATTCTAATGGGATTAGTTTCTTTTCTTTTCTCTTTTTGGCACTTTTTGGTGCCAATTCGTTTTACCGTAAAAAGTTGAATCCTGAAACTAGTCCTAAAACTTTTTTGTTTTTTGTTTTTAATGTGTTACTTGTATTTGTTCAGGCTGTCACATCGAGGTGCCAGGACTTTGCTTCCTGCAGCCCGAGGCTGGACCCCAAAGGCTTGGCAGCCAGGCGGCAGCGGTTTCTGGCGGAGCCCGGGTTAGTGGAAGGCAGCATGGAATCTTCACCGTAAAGCAGAGCAGGTGGTGATGGCGTGGGGCGGAACCCTCCCCCGGTCTTTGCACTTCTTTTAGTTCCAACTGCCCACCGAGCGGAGGCCTTCGGGTCCTCGGAGGCAGGGTGAGCAGGAACCATGCGTTTGGACCCCACGGTCTCTTCCCGTAACGCATCCCACAGCCGCTCTTCCCCGCGCCGCTCGCCTCCGCGGCACCTGTTCCACCCGGCTCACCTAGCCCCCTCCACAGGCCACGCCCTCAGGCCTTCCGGGACTCGGGGAGCGCAGCTGGACCCACCTCCTACGCTCCCAGAGGCATCCCGCCACGCCCCGTCATCGTAGCGAGGCTTTCTCTCCCCGCCTCTCGCGCTCTGGCTCCGCCTCTTCCAGCTCCCCAACGTCCTCGGCGTCGGGCCCCCGAGCCTGCGCCTGCGCCTGCGCCGTAGGTCCGAACTCGGGGCGCGCCTTGGCTAGAACGCGGAGAGCGGCGGTTGGCACAGCCAATGGGAGGCGGCGCTGGCTCAGCGGCTGGGAGGCGGGGCCTGCGCGGGTGTTAGGTTCGCGCGAGGCGTGACCTAGTTGACAGGCTCCGAGGTGCTGCTGTGGCGGCGGCTGGCGGCCGCGGGGCTTGAGGCGGGTGTGGGGAGTCGGAGCGGAGCCGAGCGCCAGCGCGGGCTGAGGGTTAGGAGGGCGGCGACTGGAAGAGCGACCGGCGGCGGCGGCGGCGGCGGCGGCGGCGGCGAGGACGGGGCGCCCTCTCTCACTTTTTGAGTGCCTCCCTCCCCTCCTGACAGACCACCCACCCCACACTGTACCCCTCCCGCACCCGCCCCCCGCGCACCCCACGCTCACACCCAGCCTGCCCGTGAGCCTGGGGAACTTGCAGCTTAAAGCCGGCCACCCCCACGGCAACATGTACCCCAGCAACAAGAAGAAAAAGGTGTGGAGAGAGGAGAAAGG